ACACACACACACACACACACACACACACACACACACACACACACACACACACACACACACACACACACACACACACACACACACACACACACACACACACACACACACACACACACACACACACACACACACACACACACACACACACACACAATTATGATTAGGGGAGTTTTGAATTGGAGCAGACAATCAGATGCGGACCAATAGGAGTGAAGCATTACTTACTTCCTTGAAGGGTTTGATCTTAGTGGGCTTCACAGTCAGAACCACGCCGTCATAGAAACGCACTTTGTAGGAGTCTACAGACACACACACACACAGACACACACATTAGACTAAATATAACTCCAGGTTGAAACTTGAAGTAAACATTTGGGCTAATGTAAGAACTCAACAAAAAAAAAAGATGTCAAAATAGCGATAGTATTTGTGATTGGAGGATCATATTTAATTATTTACGTCCAGTTTATATTATGTCCCACTCCGCTGGCAAGCTTTTGTATTTCCCTTTGAACATGTAATCTCCCATATGTGATGATCAAGCATTTGTGGGATGAGAATCACAGCTGATGGTGTAGGAGTAGGGCTGCTCAATTAATCGTATTTGTATCGCAATTACGATTATGGCTTGCAACGATTACGAAAACAATGTAATCGAAATAAAACGATTATTTTTTTATTATTATTATTATTTTTTTTTTTCAAATACATTTTTTTTTTTATTGGTTTTTCAGTTGAATTATTCTTAAAGTTCAGGGTAATCAACTGTTAAAAACATACTGTTGAAAAACATTTTCTCCAATAAATTGATGTTTTCAAAGTAAATGGATAATCGTTTTTAATAATCGTGATATCAATTATTGACCCAAATAATCGAGATTATGATTTTTGCCATAATCGAGCAGCCCTATGTAGGAGGGTCAAAAGTAAAATGTGCCATTATCTCAACAGAATAACCAACTCTCAACATGTCCTCAAACGTCATTTAAACACTGTAGACCTCTTTAATCAATACATTACATTACATTTAGCTGACGCTTATATCCAAAGCGACTTACAATGACCAATTACAGGGACATTCTCCCTGGAGTAAGTAAGGACTAAGTGCCTTACTCAAGGGCACACTAGTGGTGGTGTTCCTGGCGGGATTTGAACTCACAACCTTCCGATCTTCAGCCCACCTCACTATCCATTAGACCACCACTATCCCACCGCAATAGAGTTGTTACTTCACTTTCTCTGGTTTTACTAATTGATTATTTAACTGATCCTTTAACATCAGGTGTGAAGCTGAAGTAGAAACTCACCGTCTTTGTTCACTCTGAGGATTTTTGCCGGGTAGAAACGACAGTCTGTCCAACAAGCCAAAACCTTCGTGCCCGAAACAAACGTCTGAAACAGAAAGAAAAATGAAGACCAACAAAGTAAACGGAGAGGAAGAGGAGGAAAGACTCACACCAAATATACCCGAGTCAATGAAAACCAGACATTCATTTCAGTTAGGAAACAAAGTGGATTCAAGAGAACACCACAATCAGGACTACTGGAACAGAGACTGATGAAACCTACAGATGTGGTTGTTTTATAGAAAAGCTGTGTGTGTTTAAGTTATGAACAGGGCTAGCAGTCAGAGTTCTACCAGAAGATTCACCAAAGTAGTTTGCTCTTAGTTCAGTAGAGCATAGAAGGAAACTTGATTTTCAGTATGCTTAAATGTTACTGTAAAGCACATTTCAGTGGTCAGTGTCAAACTGTGGAATTATTTTGAGGTGGGTGCAATACAATGTATATAGAAAGAATAATTAGACAATATGTCAGGTAATCTGTGAATATTTGTGTATGGCTCGTGTGTTTTACTCTCTTGCTCATGTTTTTGTAAGAAAGTATGGTAGTTATGGTATGCGTAAAGAGAGTTGCGTTGCAGTTGTTGGTCTGTGTTTGTAGCTGCAATCTGACTTTGGGATTTCTTCTCTAAACTCTTTCACACCTACAAATAAAAAAATAACATAAAATATGTATAACTTGATGGTTAAAAAACAGGACTGTTGAGATCTAATCAAGACAGACAGACAGACACACCCACCCACACACACATACACATACCCACACCCACATACACATACACATACAGAGTGTCGTACCGGCTGAGTGCATGGTGGGTTCAGGCCCTGCCTCCTCAGGCTGACTCTCTCCAGCGGCCTCAGGTACGGAGAGGTCCAGTGAAACCATTCGTTGTGTCTCCGGCTCCACTTGCGGAAGTGGACCTGGATCCGCTCTTTCTCAAAGTCAATTTCCTCAATCGTGGCAGCGTACCTGACAGTGTGACAACAGGATGAATGTCTAAAGTCTGAATACTACAGATTTTCTTTGTGTGTGTGTGTGTGTGTGTATGTATGTATGTATGTATGTATGTATGTATGTATGTGTGTGTGTGTGTGTGTGTGTGTGTGTGTGTGGTCCTCACCATTTCTTGTGGCGGTCCCGAGCTTCGAGCTGAGCTCCGACCTCAAAGGTGATTCCAGACCTGTCCGGGGGAGTCTTCATCTGGAAGTAACAGTGAAAATACTATTTTAAGATGTACACTTTCTGCTTTATTGCTGTACGTAAAATGTCCAAGTCATTTCCCAAAATATAAATACACTATAGAATTTGTTCTACAGGTATTGGAGAGTCATTTTCAAGTCACATTTTTTATTTCAAGCTTTGTCTGTTCGTTTGAGCCTGATGTTTTAAAGCTTGTGTGTCTGGTTTTGTGTAAAAGATTAGCATGAACAGTCGTGCTAATGCTCATTGTGCATTTCGGTAAGACCTTTGTCATCAACATGAAGCTGTCAAAGAACAAACTAAGCTATGTCAGCAGAGCAGAGAACATGTTTACTTTGCAATGTTTTTTTAGTTGCTTTAAATACCCTCATGTGCAGAATAGAGAGCAGCATTTGTCACGCTGACTTCAACACATACAACATAGTCTGAAAGTGTCAAAGCCTGTGCAAATCAACCATTGTTTAAGTTCACAAGGGACCAAGTGTGCATTTTTGGAGAACTTCCACATGCAGTTAAATTAATTGAAACTTTGCCTATGTTTTGAGATAATAACATTTAAATTATCAAGTTTTACATCTTAATTTTGATTGACCCAGATTTTCATTCACATTCAATTTTAATCTCATTATACGTTTGGCAATAATGATGCATCTTTAAACTTCATGTGCACAAAAATGGCTGTCACTTATTAAAACCTATACAGTCTATGGTGGTAAAAACACCACTGTCCCCACTTATTGGTTCCCCCTGACTTGCATTCAAACATTTGGGATAGAAACACAAAACACAGCGCTTGGACTTGTAAAACTTAGAGATATTAAATACATATGAGAACAATAAAATCGGGTCAGTATTTTAAAGGCTACGTCGACTATATGACGCTTGCGTGATGACACAACGTAACACAAAACGGTTGAAGCTAAACTTTTTGGTTAAGTTTATCATTGATTGCCATACAAGTAAACCGATAACGATAAAGATAAGATATGCAAATAAAAAAGTCAAAACTCATACAGCAAGTAATGAATGAAAGAAAATATTGTATTTTTGACATTTCTCTTTTTTTTCTGTTAGCTTTCTCTATGAAGAAACCTGATTGGCTCACAGGCCACCGAGGACACCTATTCAGAATTCCTATTGGTCGTCCGCGCTGTCAGTCAGAAAAAAGAGAAACAGTTCCGCCCCTCACTCAGATATTTGACAGTAGCTAACATGCTAATGCTAAGCTGTGTTAGCTCCAGCAAGAGCAGCTAAAAAACACACAATACGATACGCAAAATAGCTTCAAAATATCACGTTTGCTAACTAAGCCTGCATCGGAAAGGAGACCACGATATGTTTGACATTGTTCATTAATCTTTCCCAGTTAAACAGAGCAGTTCTCCTCTCCATTGACTCTGAATAGATCAGCTAACAGCTAACCGTTAGCCTCTGCTGAGGTTAAGTAGCTCAGTGTTAAATGTCAGTGACAGCAGCGAGGTCTGAGTCCTCCAACGAGCTGTCATTGGAGCTGACACCTTTAATAAACTGTCCCCGCTGTTCACATGTCATTATTATCACTATAATGTGTAAATAGGAAACACAAAGCTTGTTTACCTCTAGCGCTACTTGTGCACTGCACTCTCTTCATCACACTGTGATGACCGCACGGCGCATGCGCGAATGGAGACTTTCAGTCAAGGATTTTAAGGGGAGACAAAAAACTCCACCCTGTCCAGACATGTCCAGAAGACAATCTGCATACTGTTTCAAGCATACAAACACAATAAAAACACATGTTTCTGTTGTATTTTAAAAGGTTATGCTGTTGTGCTGATTTCTGATTCGAATTCTGATCAATTGTTTTCTTTGGAATTATTATTTTTATACTATTTTACCATTTTAAATATTGTATTTGTCCATTATTTTATTTATTTAAAGATAAATAAACAAGGAGGCCTGTTAAAGAATCAATGGTAGTCATTTCATTTAGGGAAATGCGGTACTTATTTTTAAGCGTTTCATTTTGAATGATTATTCATTTACACGTTGTTTTTACTGAATTGTATTGAATTAGGAAATACAAATACATATGAAATTATGCATTTTTCTGATAAAATATTATGCGTCTGCAATTAAATTAGACTGCAATTTATGATCCTGCTGCATTTGACTATGTCAATGTGGTCAAAAAGTATCAATGAAACTCATAACAATGGATTTTCTGGTAGGTATGAAGGGTCAAAGACTAATGCCCAAATCACATCTAAATAAATGTTATTTTTGTTAATTGAATGTTGCAATACTAACTTAAATGTTTTATTTTCTCTTACTATGTTTATTGTGATGTAAGAGGTAAAATCATGTCATGTGAAAACCTACTTGGCAATACAACTGATTCTGATTCGCCTTGACTGTAACGTGGGTACAAACCGTAAAACAAATATATATTTAGTAACAAAGTACAGCTGGAGTTATTTTCTGTTTCTGAACTTTATTTTCTGAAAAGTAGATGGATCCCCTTAGCTGCCGCAGACTTTATGTTAAGATAACAAAGATAACATGTTAAGCAGGTTCATTTTCACAACATTTGTAAGCAGTTTGTAAAGATTAACAACAAAGGAAAAATAAGTAAAAATAGGCATGTGCGAAGGAGGATTTCTAAACTATTTTCTGAATGGAAGGTTTGTTCATATAGTAATTTAAAAGACGCCTGGCTCAGTAAAGCAGGTGAGGCGCCAGTCGAGGGTCTCGCTTCAGCCTCTGATCCAGAGCTTTGTACTTGTGAGGAGCTGCTTCCTTGTGCCTGAAAGAAACACACGCACATAATACATGGGCATAATGTTAATAAATCTTCTTTGGCTAATCTGAAAACAATTGTCTGATAATGTAAAAAAAAATGGGGTAACAATTATGAAAATGGGGGAAAACGTCAGAAAATGTCCTTTTAGTATAGTGTGTGTGTGTGTGTGTGTGTGTGTGTGTGTGTGTGTGTGTGTGTGTGTGTGTGTGTGTGTGTGTGTGTGTGTGTGTACAAGTACATTTTCAGGCGTTTCTTGGCGACGTTTATTCGTAGTATTTTCTCGGTACAGTAGGTCTGGTAATCCTTCTCCTGGCCCTTCGTCATGTGGAGCTGGTTCTTCTGGAACGACTGCTGCTTCCTCTGCAGCTCCTGAGTCTCCTAAACACAGATTTTTGAGAACATGTAATAAAGAAACATTTAAATCTCAAAGGTTTCTGTGTCCTGCATTGGATTGATTATGTTTTGGGGGATTTTCCCTTCCCTGTAGTGTGTTGTATAGGTTTTTGTCAATGTAAATGGTCTGAAAAGGCTAAAATCCCTGTGTCCCCTCCCCCAGTTTCCCTCCCACACATCCCCCCCCCCCCCCCCCCCCCCCCCCCCCCCCCCCCCCCCCCCCCCCCCTTGCCTGAAACACCTCCATTGAACTCCTCTGTTACTCCCGTGACAAAGTGACGTGCTTCCATTGGCTAGCCCTCCAACACATTGTACGTGATAGGCTATGGGGCGGGACATCTCTAAGTGGTTGATCAATCACAACAGAGCCGGCCAGCTAACCACTCACAGCAGACTGGGCTCTGGTTTCAGACAGAGGGTGAAATGAGGAAAATAAAGAGCTTTTTGAACATTAAAGAATGGAGACATGTTCCAGTAGAGACACTAAATACAAATATGAACCTGGAAATGAGCAGAACAGTTCTTTTTTTATAATCTTCCCCCATCAGGATCCCAAAAGTAGAGCCACTATCAGGAGTGAACACACTGTTACCTTGAATAAAAGGAACAACATTTTTGGATTTTCTTGGAATCTTTTGGGACAATGCAAGTGCATAAAATATCTAACATACTGTATGTCTAGTCGCTTTTAGAAATGTCAGACCTAATAGTTCCTGCAGTGAAAAAGGGATTTAATATAAGAGTAAAGCCGTGCCCTAACCTTCTCATAGCGTTCCTGAATGAGGTTGGCTTGCTCCACCAGTCTCTGTTTGAACCCGGACAAACAGTCTTGGTGGATCTGCTTGGCGTCTCCTGCGCTCAGAGTCTCTGTGTCGTTCAGCCGGAGGAGGAGAGGAGCCAGGACGTCCTTCTCCTTCTCCTTAATCCACCGGCGCTCCTCCGCATCCAGACGCTCCTGCAACGGCAGAGAAAACAACCCAAGACGTCACCGACACAAACGTTTCTGAAGATCTGTAAGCCTGTTTGATTTATTGAATGCTGTTTTCTGTCTGTTTAAACCCAAATAAAATGTTTAAGTGGATTTAAAATGTGTTTTACATATAGCAAGTATTCTTTTTCGCAGCATGGCTATGGCAGCATGTTGTTGCAGCTCCCGGTGGTTTTATTGTCTTTACCACTTTATTTTCTTATTTGTGCGAATTTTCTTTTGACTATTTCCTTTTTTTCTATTGGTAATGTATCCAAATATATTAACTGTTTGTTTATTTTCTGTAAATTCATGTGCAATTTATTTTTTAAGTGCTGATATATAACAATAAAGTAATGCATTTACTGTATAAATCTATACCTAATTTATTATAATTAGATATGGTATATAGCTTAGATGAGGTAGTTAGGTAGCACTCACATATTTGTACCACAGTGTAACAAGTAAAAGTCCTGAAAACGGTACTTAAGGTAATTATCTTGAATCATTTTAATTTACAAACTGGGTGTCTGTGTCGACATTACCAGGAAAAATCTCAAGCGGTAATCTCTGGGAGGTAAAATCCCAAAACACCTGCACGTTACCGCCATAGGAAACCAAACAAAGCTCTTGAAGACTGTAAAAGTTCAAATGTACATGCATCAAAATATACCCATTTATAGAATGAAAAGTAAAAGTTCCCATTTTGCTGAATTTCACATTTCAAAAACATGTATATATCACGTCAATTATTGAACTATATAAAATTATAATTATTAATGCATCACTACGTAACAGCTGGTGACGGTGGAGTTAAAGGACGACTTAATATACTGCCTGGTATTTAATCAATTATAATTTATCAGTCCATTTATATTTTGTATTGATGATCTCCACATTTAAAAGTAGTCAAAATTAAAATGTTGTCAGAGAAATGTTTACCGCTGAGATGTGGCGGGAAAAAAATTAATTAAAGTGTCTAAAACATTTTCTTAAAGGTAGGGTAGGTAAGTTTGAGAAACCGGCTCGAGATCGCTAGAATTTGAAAATACACAACCGGAGAAAATCTGCCACTTCCTTACAGAGCCCCTCCTCCAACACACACGAACGCGCACATGACCAATGAGGGCACGAGATAAGTTTGTGCACAGATGGAAGGCTGACAGGCAGGTAGGCCATCCAGTTATTTTAGCCGGGCCGGCTAAAATGATTGGTCGTACTTTTTACAGCGCTACGGCTTCCACAGATGACATTTTTTATGGATTTTTTGTCAAAGCACTTAAGATATTCATTGCTATCGGGATGTTAAGAGCTTTCCATGGAATATAACAAAAAGTGTATCTCGAGCCGGTTTCTCAAACTTACCTACCCCACCTTTAAGTAGGGAAAAATGTAATAGGAATAGTCAGATGGGAACCTGACAACCAAGTTATCTGAGTTTCAGTGTGTGTGTGTGTGTGTGTGTGTGTGTGTGTGTGTGTGTGTGTGTGTGTGTGTGTGTGTGTGTGTGTGTGTGTGTGTGTGTGTGTGTGTGTGTCTCACCATTTCCTCTCTCTGGCTGCGGGCCTGGGTCACTCCGCTTGTGGTCCAGGGGGAGAGGTGAAGATGGAGGTCTTCCTCTTCCTGCTCTCTGCAGTCCACGATTTCTTGCACCTACTCACACACTAGTGTCATTAACTGGACTCAAAGTAACAAACACAACCGTGTATTATAAACTTTAGCTCCATTTAATAGCACATTGGGTTTTACTCAGGATTCTGCATACCACGCTGCATTACACTTCATAACACATTCAGGGTTACAAACTCTCCATCAGTTTAGATATAAATCTCTCAGATGGATATTTGTATTGTTTATGTCTGATGTATATTTAAGTTGTTCTTAACCTTTTCATTGCTATTGTACATACTGTATGACAAGAAAACCATTACATTTTCGATTATTGAATCTTATTGCAAAGACATTGTACGGCAAACTAACTTCTTCCATTTCTACAAAGACAGAGGTTTTTGTATGCTGTTCAGATTGTTGACACCCTGAAGGACGTTTTCTAATTTGTGATATTGGGTTATTTAAATAAAAATGGATTGATCTCCATCCATTTAACCTTTCATAGCAGCAACTAGAGCACTAGATCGACACATTGGATTCTTCTAAAGGTTCTCAGGAGCTCGGAGCCTAATCATTTGTTTTGTATTATATTGGAAATACGAGCAAATAGCAGAGGGGCACAAGTGAATTATATTTATGTTTTCTGATGTCATTGTGGAAAAAAAATTAGATCAGGTAAGAAATTACTTTGGGGCGGGTTAAGTCGGGATGGATGATATGAATTTCAATAGAAAAATAGCCCAGAATTATTTGTCGGGAAGCACAGATAGAGGATTAGACATTTTCCTTTTGTCTTATTTGTTCAGGGTTAGCGGCCGCTGAATGAATCTAAATCAGAAAATCCTTTCCAGACATAACCCGGAAAATTAACCCTTATAAAATCATAACCTGCTTAGAGGAGCATGTTCTGTATGGTGGAGGTTTGCACACATTGTTGTTGGTCATTAAAATACCCAGAAGCAACGAATATGATGTGATCCAACCTCTGAATTAGGATAGACTGAGGTTACCTCTTTCTTAGAATTCCTGACTTGCAGAACCACCTCCTCCTCGCCCTTCATCAGAGACATCAGCATCTGGTACAGAGTCAGAGTCTTTAGAGGCTTCTCAGATGGATCCACCTGAACCCCACACAGACACAAATGTTGTTATCGGAGAGTTTATTATCCCAAGAAATTGCTCAGAGACTTTTATTTTGAAAGGCAGTAGGTAGGGTATATCTTAAAGGGGACCTATCATGCAAAATGCACTTTGGTACGTCTTTTATACATGAATATGTGTCCCCGGTGTTCCAGGGAACTCACCAAGTGTCAGAAAACACAACCCTCTCTATTTTCCTCCATACCCAAATCTCTAAAAAAGGGGCTGCAACGGATCTGATAAAAACTGATCCAGATTTGAACACTGTCCTGACGTCAGGACGGTGGCGCTACGGCTATTGGGCCAACTCCACCAATCAGGAGGAGACAGCCACGGCCATTGCCGTTCGAAAGCGCTGGAGACGCTGTAGTACATATGCCAGGCCTGTAGGTGGTGCTGTTCTCACAGAATCAGCCCTTGCTAAAACAGAGCTAACATTTTTCAAATTGAGCAAAATGAGGCATGGCTAAAATGCATGATCTGTTTGGTATTTTGAAAAAAGAAAAGTATAAATACGCCTTATATAGGTATGGTCCTACACTATATTATTCAAATATAGCATGATAGGTCCACTTTAAGGTGTGTCTGTACCTGGAAGCTGGAGACCATGTCGAGTCTGAAGGCCTCTGCCTTCTCTTTGTCTGTCGCCTCTCGAGGTTTGATGAAGCTTCTCTTTGAAGGGATGAATCTGTGATCCTCGAGGTGATAGGTCAACTCGATACGTCTTTCATTCAACAGGAACACTCGCTCCGCCACGTCTTCGCTGGCTGGCTTCGCTCTGTCCCTGCGGAAACGCTCCACAATTTTCTGCATTTTTGCACACACGCGAGATGATACAATTAAAACCCACACGTGAATACAACATTAAGTTGCACAGCGTGATGCATCCTTCAGTAACAAACACAATTCCATTAGATACGTTTCAAATAGAGCTTTTATGTAACTCCTACCAGCACTTTATATAATAAATATTTCTCTCTCAAGCCATTCTTGAAGTATGAGTCCAAACATTGTGTTTTTTCTCCACAGGGGCATTATATATATCTCTAAACTTTCGCCCAAAATGATTAAAAAAACACAATAATGAGCTACATTTATGCACTGAGTGACATTTACCATTAAGAGGCGTGGGTTTAGATGAGTAGGACATTTGATACTTTAGATGTGCTTGACTTTCATTGATAAGAGACTCCACTTGACTTACACTTAGTATGCCTGACTAAGATTTGATAAACTGTTTAGGTTCAATATAACTTTGTTAATTGGGGTATTACTACCGCAAAATGTACCGCAAAAAAGACAAATACTCTTTCTCTTGCTCTAAGAATATGCATTTCATTTGACTTGTGACTCATATCATGGACTCAATTTGACTTGCTAGTGACATGACCATGTGTCTTACTTCCACCTGTGCAATGAACACAGACAATGTAGTCTACTTTTTACCCACTGCAGGGCCTCGCACGGCTTAGTACGGTATAGTTAGGCCTTGGTAGGCCAGGCTCACTTTATGCTGCGTTTCCATTACAGTTTAGGAACTGGGGCAGTAACTATAGTAACGCAGTGTAGGCGGAGCCGTGACGTCATCTTCAATGCGAAACACAAAACCAACATCAGCCGTTAGCTGTTAGCACTCAGAGCTCACAGCTCCTCATATCTGTTCAGAAACTAGACAAAAGTTAAACAAGTACAAACCACAGACTGTCTGTGTCATGGTGAATACAGTCGCTGCTTTATTTATGTCTGTATAGGCCGTTGTTGTGAGTGTGGACGGTCGGAGCATATACTGCGTTAGCTTAGCCGATCTCCATTCAGAAAACACGCATTTTAAAAGGTTTTTCGCCTGCCGTCTGTCTGCAGACTTGTCAAAGCATTAATTCATGGTTTTTACTAACCGGTATCAGTATGTTGTTACTTCGGCATCATTTTGAAACGTGTATTACAATTAAATCACGGTAAAATATGTTCATCTTGTTGTAGTTGCCAGCGATTCTCTCACTAGTTTCAACACAGTCTCACGGCATTTCGTGTTATAGTCACGAAATGAATCTATTGATTCGTGTTCACCAACACGATTTCGCAATTTTTTTCGTGTCACACAGAACGATTTTAAAAGCAATGTAAATAATAACAAATTAGAAGGAAAAAGACATTTAAAATAATACAGATTTAAGTATTCTGACACAGAACGATTTTAGAAGCAATGTATTTATATTGGTAGTATGTTTCGTGCCTGCACCAAATAATAACAAATTATAAGGAAAAAAAGATGACATAAAATACAGATGTCAGTATTCTGAGGCTCTGAGCCCCATTTCTTTTCCTCACTGACAGCAAAAAAACTCAGACATTATACCATTTAAAATAAAAGGGATAGGGTTAGGCTTAGGGTAAGATATTGAGTAAGAACATGTTTTTATGAACCACACAGCTTCTGGTCTTCCAAGACCCGACCGGACAAAAAGACGTGTTGGAGGCACGAAACATACTACCAATAGAAATACATTGCATTTAAAATCGTTCTATGTGACACGAAAAAAATGTGAAAATCGTGTTGGTGAACACGAATCAATAGATTAAATTAATTTCGTGACTAATAACACAAAATGCCGTGAGACTGGGTTACTAGTTTAGCATACTCAGCCTGGTTGTTGGCCCACTTACACCTTTCTACTACCACAAATACTCACTACAGGACCAAATGTGAATTAATCCGCCGTTGAAAATAGTCCCGTACAAATGCACTATTTACCCTGTTTGTTTGATAAAAGTATTTACATAGTTTTGTGTTTTAAAAGATTGCCATTATCAGCAGGAACCAATGGGCTTTGAGCTAAGGGCAACGGACAGAAAGTCAGAAAGACTGTTGTCTTTTCCTGGGATTTCTGGTCATCAAAAACATTGTTTTAAACCAAAATAATGTTCAACTATCCAGAACTCATGGTATAACTAATACAATTATTATAAAATGACCCAAGTGTGTGTTTTTCACATCTTATTTACATATGTTTTACCTCTATTTCTCTGACTTTCAGATGGCTTTCCAAATCTTCTCGTGAAAGCTTAATCTGTGGTTTGAAAACAACGTGCCGGCAGTAGAGGAAGTCCCTGCGGCCCTCGAAGGACTCCGTCATTTCATCCGATGACTCCACCCTCCTCAGCAGATCTTCACCACGGTCACTGCTGAACTCCATCTCACGCTCCGTGTCGGTGCTATTGGATGTGTACCTGTGAACTGAGAATAAAACAAAACACCGACACTCAGGACGCTGACGTAACTCTGAGGGAACGACAGCTACGACTAAAGCCTGCTGGTTCCTGTTCACTGCATATAGAAGCTCATAGGGGATTTAATGAAAATGAAGACTTGAAAATAAACAGGTTATTCCACAACAGCATTCTATTTTAACACATCAACATATGTACGTTTTTTTATTTAAATAAAAAGGAAAATTAAGTAATCCAATATGCACTTTCACATATCCGGCTTTCTATGACAATTATAAAAGTTAAAATGGAAAAGCTGTTGAGCCATAATGAACTCACAGGTAATACTTTACTTTAAAATGGATACATGTTTTTGTTGTTGTTTCTAACACGATTGTACGGCATTTCAGTTAAATGTGTCTTCGGTGGAGTGTTTGGTAGTTTTTGTTGGACAGACAGCAGCACAAAAAGCATATTTACATAAAAGGTGGAAAGGTCTTCCACGTCTGAAGCGCTCTGTGGTGAATTTGTCCACCTCGTTGATCTCCCTCTCCACCAGGTGGTCGTTTCTCTGATGATACAACTCTCTCACCATGACCACTTCAGTGCCTTTCACACACACACACACACACACACACACACACACACACACACACACACACACACACACACACACACACACACACACACACACACACACACACACACACACACACACACACACACACACACACACACACACACCACACACACACACACACACCACACACACACAACACACACCACACACACACACACACACACACACACACATCACACACACACACACAACACACACAATCGCACAAAGGACAAGATTTTTCTCAGATTTGTAGGCACTGTGGTAAAAATACCTTAAAGGTCACCTATTATGCAAAATCCACTTCTTCATGTCTCTTCTACATCAACATGTGTCCCCTCTTCTTCATGTCTCTTCTACATCAACATGTGTCCCCTCTTCTTTCATGTCTCTTCTACATCACATGTGTCCCCTCTTTTTTCATTTCTTTTCTACATCAACATGTGTCCCCTCTTCCTCATGTCTCTTCTACATCAACATGTGTCCCCTCTTCTTCATGTCTCTTCTACATCAACATGTGTCCCCTCTTCTTCATGTCTCTTCTACATCAACATGTGTCCCCTCTTTTTCATTTCTTTTCTACATCAACATGTGTCCCCTCTTCCTCATGTCTCTTCTACATCAACATGTGTCCCCTCTTCCTCATGTCTCTTCTACATCAACATGTGTCCCCTCTTCCTCATGTCTCTTCTACATCAACATGTGTCCCCTCTTCCTCATGTCTCTTCTACATCAACATGTGTCCCCTCTTCCTCATGTCTCTTCTACATCAACATGTGTCCCCTCTTCTTCATGTCTCTTCTACATCAACATGTGTCCCCTCTTCTTCATGTCTCTTCTACATCAACATGTGTCCCCTCTTCTTCATGTCTCTTCTACATCAACATGTGTCCCCTCTTCTTCATGTCTCTTCTACATCAACATGTGTCCCCTCTGTGTAAAGAGACTCTGAAAGTTTCAGGAACAAAGATTCTCTCTCTTTTTGTCCTGATCCATTTATATAAAACCTGTCTGAAAATGAGCTGATCAGATTTTGGCCACTTTATGATGTCATAACGATTGTTTGGCTTGTGTAACCATTAGCCAATCACCAACCAAGGTAACCCCCCCCCCTTATCACCTGAATCTCCTCCTAGAGCACCATTGTGTTCTTTTTAACCAAATATCTCTCAGAGGGGCGTGGGGAGGGGCTCCTTATTTTCATCTAAAGTAACAGACAGAGAATCAGCACTTTTGAAACAGGGCTGAAACAGAGGGGATTATGGGATGCTGCAATGATCTGTTTGGTGTTTGGAGCCAAACACTTCAGAGACATGTTCTGTATATATATGAGACCTGTAATATATTGAAAAACAGTATAATAGGGGACCTTTAAAAGCTTCTTGGGACTGAATTATTGTGTAACCCTCTTACAGTCCAGGTCTTTGTATCTAGTCAGCCGTGTGACCAGGCCGTCTTGACTCAGATAAACTGCAAACTTCTCCAGTTTTGCTTTTCTGTAGCGGATCACCTCCTGTCTCCCCGGCCAACGGCTCTCCAGGTCTGATAAGAAAAGGAGGGGAGGACATTTAAGGAAGATTTACAGCTTCAAGGAACAGTAGCATGTGTTTGGTGTTTGGGAATAAAAATGACAAACGCATGATAAGATATTTTCTCCTCTCGGGAATCCCTCTATTCTGTCACATTTTAACATGTTTAAGGGATTGCCCTGAAGATTTTGTTAAAGGGATACATCAAAATGCTGTTGCTTAAGACAAACAATTTTTAAATACTGGTGAAGGGTAAAAAGGGTTATCATAGGAGAAGGCCATTTTGAATGCAAAGATGGAAAATACAATGGATATTTACAGCTTTTTAGGGTTTTGTCTTTCATGCAGTAAGTTATATAGGTTACACATCCGGCAGTGGCTCAGTCAGTAGGGGCTTGCACTGTGAGCTGTGGGTCGCCGGTTCAAGTCCCCGACCAGACCTAAAAATGGAGTGTGGACTGCTACTTGGAGAGGTGCCAGTTCACCTTCTGCCCTGCCGTGGTGCCCTTGAGCAAGGCACCGGACTATAAAAAATGACCACGTGCCTTTACCTTTGGAACGCTCTGACCACAAATGTTTCTCCTCTCTCATCCCACTGAAAATAATGTAGTGAAAGATACATCAGTCTCCTAACACTCATCCTATTCTATTTGTATATAGTTTACTTCTTATACATTTACATGCAACATTCTCTTTTTGCACAATTGTTATTGTTTTACATCTTATATATATATATGTTGTATTGGGACTGGGTTTTAGGATGTCGATACTGCATATGACAATAAAACCATTAAATGTTGAATATTGAAAAAAAAAAAAAAAAAAAAAGTAGGGGCTTGGACTGTGAGCCGTAGGGTCGCCGGTTCAAGTCCCCGACCAGACCTAAAAATGGAGTGTGGACTGCTACTTGGAGAGGTGCCAGTTCACCTTCTGCCCTGCTGTGGTGCCCTTGAGCAAGGCTCCAGACAACCCCCCCCACTCCCATTGCTCCCCGGGTGCTGTACAATAGCTGCCCACTGCTCCTAGTACTAAGATGGGTTAAATGCAGAGAAGAACTGTCACTGTGTGTGCTGTGCATGTGTGACCATTACAGAGGGCTTCATCCCTCCCCAATATTATTATATAGATTTTATTTTTCTGTTTGTCTTAAATTGAGCATTTCAGACATACTGTAAATGGATTGTGTATGTATGTAAACCATATTTGAAACTTATTTTATGGAATTGTCTTTAATATATTGAGAATGCATTAGTGACAGAGTAAGGCTGGTGATCTGCACGGACTGATGTATAATATTTCACTTTATTAGAACAATACTAACGAAGGTGTGTCGTGTTTCCGTCTGGATGCAGTTCTTGTTCTCTGAACCCTGCCTCTTTAGTTTCATCCCACAGGCAATAAGACTGTTAAACACCTGAACTGTTGAAACAACATCCATAACATTCATCTGGCTGCTACTTTAAAATTATTTATCTGTTTACCTAATATATCAGATTTCAATGACTTGCATAGAGACTCTTATTGCACTATTTCACTTTTTTAAACTATTTTCTTCTTGTTACTATTTACTTGCATTATATTTTTCTGTTTGTCTGTGTTATTGTGTTGCTCTGTTGGAGAAGCCTGTGACACAAGATTTTCATCGGCATAACTACACTGTAGCTATGTTCGTTTGACAAATAAAGAACCTTGAACCTTGAACCTTGAACCTTACAGATGTAATGGCAAAAATAAACAGTTACTTTTGTCACAAACAAACAGGTGTATTGCATGCAGGGTCCCATCATATAATATAGCTCATGTGGAGTAACTGTACCTTTTTTTGAGATATTGACGTAACTGACCCAGGAGCGTGGCATCTCAAACACTCGGAGCTGCTGCTCGTCCTTTAAAACAGAAAACAGCATCATGTAAAGTGCACAAATAACTTTATTAACGGAAAAATCATGTTTCAATTTTAAGTGTTCAATTCAGCCTAAATTGTGGTATTATTATTTCTTCTCACACAGAGTAGCCTACATTGATTATTTGTAATAGCATTGCAGCTGGTTGATGTGTTTGTGCTTGTTTTTATATTAATTGACTATGTAGATATTCTTTTAATTGATTGACAGTTAGGAAAGTATTATTATCCTTAAAGGTGTTTCTTCCTGCTTGTTGCCATCGTCTGATTTAAAACTGCATTTAAGTCGTACTTTTTGCTTTAAAGTAGCAACTACTCATTATTTGCATCATTGATTAATCTGCTGATTATTTCCTTTAATTGCTTGGTCTATAAAATGTTGAAGCCCATTATGGATGTCTTATAAGTCAAAAGGCGAAGAATATAGAGAACCGCAGTGACGCGTCCTAAAACCTGGAAGTAAGTTAGCATTTTAACACGTCCGGTTCCTTCGACAAAAAGCAATGCAATTTCTCCATAGGATTTTGGAAAAGAGCTGGAACTAAGGTCTGTGGTTGAGACACATTGAAGAGACAGATCACGTTTTGTTCTACGACATTAAATACATCAGCAGTGACCCCGCTGGTGATTTTTGAAGAGTTTACGTGTCTGAAAAACGATGGTTGTTAACATGTGGCTGAATAGGACTACAGAAGTTGAGGCCGTTTTACGTCGTTACACCGAACACGTAAACACTCCCGCTAAGTTTGTTTGCCGTGTTCTGCTTGAAAGCAAGTACCTGCCTCCTGCAAACTGTTCAAACAAACACTTCAACTTGTATCATTTAGAATCTGTATGTTTGAATATGGATCTTAAGTTGGCGTGACATTGAAGCAGCGACCGTGCTGTAGTTCGTTTATAGCATAACGTTAGCATTTTGCTTCTGGCGACTAGATTTATGATTAGAAAATGATAAAAGTAGGGTAGACATGTGGAGATTATCCGGCTGAACAAAACGTGATCCGTCTCTTAAATGTGTCTCAACCACAGACCTTATTTCCAGCTATTTTCCTAAATCCTATGGAGAAATTTCATTGCGTTTTTGACGAAGGAACCGGAAGGAGTTTACTTCCGGGTTTTAGGACGCGTCACTGCGGTTCTCTATTTAGTATAAAATAAAATAAAATCAAGGGAAAAAAACAGGAAATCTCTATATTTGAGAGGCTGAAAACATTCTCCACTATTTATACATATATAATTACTTTAAGGATTAATTGATCAATAAAATAGTTGGCGATCATTATTCTGTCAATGGTCTAATCAATTAGTTAAGTTATCGTTGCAGCTCTACTTGAAAGTAAAAATACCTACTATCAAATCAACTACAACTACTGTACATATGGTAAGGGTGTAAACACGCACGCACGCACGCACGCACGCACGCACGCACGCACGCACGCACGCACGCACGCACGCACGCACGCACACACACACACACACACACACACACACACACACACACACACACACACACACACACACACACACACACACACACACACACACACACATACCTCGTCATTATTGGTGTATTTGCTCATTATCTTTTTCTTCGAGACTTCAAGAATCAGCTGCTTTTTGCTTGTGGCACCGTACAGGACCGGCTCCCATAGTTTCATATCTTCCAGGTCATACACCATATCCTACACACACACCCCCACAAAGACACACACAGGAGCAGATACACAGAAACATGAAGTCCAAATTGGCTATTGCCTCACATGTCCTTTCAGATGATGGCAGATTGTGTGTTGGACTCACAGCGCAGCCGTCCCTGCAGTCTTGCATGTTGACGTAGTAGTTGAGATTGTTCCACACGCTCTCGATGCCCAGGAAGTTGACATCTTCACTGGGGTAGCTGTTCCCGGACAGGGGGTCGATGAAGAAGTTCTCCCTGACGCTGCGACTCCCTGACAGCACCAACACCCAGCAGTGCACCCGCAGACCTCGCAGGGGGTCAGCAGGTGGCTGCTCAGTCTCCTGAACAAAGAGTCAAAGACAGTAGAAACAGTAAGGGTTAAACGGGCCCTGTTACACTCAAGTTCAGGTTCATAATAGTGTCTCTACTGGGACATGTCTCCACTCTTTAATGTTCAAAAAGCTCTTTATTTTTCTCATACTGCCTGTGCTGCAGCACCTCTTTTCACCCTCTGTCTGAAACCAGAGCCCAGTCTGCTCTGATTGGTCAACAGTTAGAGATGTCCCGCCCCTTAGTTGATCAGATACAATGTGTTGGATTATTAGCCAATAGAAGCGCGAGTGATGCATAGTATTCTTCGGAAGTAAACAGAGAAGTCAAATGGAGGCTTTCAGGCATCAATAAAATAGTTGGCGAACATAGGTTATCGTTGCAGCTCTACTTTAAAGTCACACATACACACACACACACTCACACAGACACAGACACACACACAAACACACACACACACACAAACACACACACACACACACACACACACACACACACACACACACACACACACACACACACACACACACACACACACACACACACACACACACACACACACACACACACACACACACACACACACACACACACACACACAAATAACCTGTTACCTCCTGTAGTTTTTGTTTGTGAAGCAACGCGGCCTCTGCCTCCTGTTTCTTCTTCTCTAGCTGCGTCAGAAAGCGACTCTTCATCTCCCTCAGAGGTTTCACTGTGTATTTATTCTCCTGCGGCTCCTCCTCTGAGATCTTGCCCTGCAAAAACAAACACAAAGCACAGCCAGGCAGACGCACACCTTTGAATCACCGATCTGTCTGAACAGCTGCTCTCCTCATTTTTTATGTACAGTTTTTTAACCCTGGAACCTAAGATAGCACTGACCTTGACCTGAGTGTCCAGCAGGGGGCACTCCTGCAGGCTGCGGTCCATCAGACACATCTCTCTCACAGCGTAGCCGCTGACACAGTAAGCGTCGTAGTGGTTGCCGAGCAGCAGGCTGCACAGCAGGGTGGCGGATTCAAAACATGTGGCACTCTGATTCTGCAGCACTGAGCTGGAGGAGAACAAATACCTTGGCTGGGACAGAAACACACGGAGAGATCAGTGAGGGGCCTAATGGCCACAACAGATCCCTGGGCCACAACTTCTGCATGCACCTACTGAAGATGTTCTGTTCACAAAGAGACAGATAATTACCACAAAAAGTTGAAAAATACAAAAAAGGGGAACAAACGGTTACAGAGATGCAAAACAAACAAAGAAAGACGAAAAAACAAACAAACGCGGACACAAAAAACAAGAGATACAAAATGTTTTATCAAAAAAAGCTAAACAAACACAAAAAACACACAGTGCCTACAAAGAGAACAGAAAAACGAAAAAAAATATTTCTAGGAGAGAGACACAAAAGGACCTCAAACGGACTGAAAACTACCACAAAGAGGGACTAAACGTCTATAGAAAGATGCAAAACAACCACGAAGGGACAATAACAACAACAGACTCAAAAAGACAACAAAGAGGAGCAACACGAAAACACTAAAGGACTAAATTATATCAACCATATTGGCCCCTAATTTTTCGTCGTCGTTGTGTTTTTTGGCTCTCCTTGCACTATTTCTATTCTATTTTATTTGTATTTACTTGCACTATTCTATCTGTTTTGCTGATGTTGCACTGTGTGAGGAGCATGTGACCTAAGATGTTCATTTGTACATCTACACTGTACCTTTGTACAAATGACAATAAAAGCCTTGAATCTTGAATATGAAAGAAGGAAACCCTCTCTGATGCAACCACTAGCCTTATTTGCACCAACCGTTCACTACTATATCTGCCCTTGTGTTGTTTTTCTTCTCACCAGATCCACAGGTGGCTCCAAAGGGTCCAGAGACAGGAAGTCAGCCACGAAGGAGGCGCATCCCTCCCAGGCGAAGAGTTCGGGGAAGACTGTCGGTGTGGGCCGGAGAGTCATGGACACAAACTTCTGAATATTAGAAAAACATACGCAGGAATTAGACAGAGCTATATAGAGTAGAGCAGTGGTTCTCAACTGGTGGGTCGCAACCCAAAAGTGGGTCGCGGACCCGTTTCGAGTGGGTCGCGGATGTGTGAGTGAAGAAAAAAAATTGGAAAAAGAAAATTGGAATTCTTTTTTCTTTTTTTTGGGCGGGAAAAAGTCAAACTTTTATTTTGAAGGCCCGATTTCCTTCTCAGAGTGTACCAGAATGCGTAGTTTATGTTAGTATTTCTAAAAATCCCCTGGGGGAGAATCCCCCCAGACCCCCCTGCTGGGGTTGGGTTTCAGCATGTGTGCCTTTTTATATAGTTCAGCTTTGATTCCATCATCTCATTAAACGTTTTTTAAAAGCATTCTTTAGTTATGTGAAGGGATATAAGGGATATATGCACTGTACTTCACTTTTATTAATATTGTATGCTCAAAAGCGTATATATTACAGCACGATTTTTTGTTGAATAGATTTGAGTGCTTCAAAATGTTGGGTCGCGATTTATTGACCAAGTAAAAAGTGGGTCCCGAGGCCTGACCAGTTGAGAACCACTGGAGTAGAGTATATGGTACAATGTGGGACAATGTGGAAATGAATTGCGGATCGTGATAATGAATGAGTTGGTACTATTGTACTTCGTAATTTTTGACGGAAATACAATTTTCATATTGCCCCATGCCTAGTTTATGGGTTGTTTGAAGATGTAAAGAACAGGTGGCTGATGATGCCAAAAATATGTTGAGTTATGTGGACACAGGGCCTTAAGTGGATTTAGCTTTTTTAATTTCACCTTGACTCCACATTCGTTGACCGGGCAGAGCAGCAGGGGTTTGCGGTCGGGATACAGGAGTGAATACTGACGCTGGAAGTTGTCGGCGATGGCCAGCAGTCGGATCTGGTCGGGGGAGTTAACCCTGTAGGACTCTGGACACAGCTCGTCCACCTTCAGGCTGATGAAGGACAGGGAATACATGGCGTTTCATTTTTTTATTTGTTCCGTTCATGGTATGCACAACTTAATGTATAACAATTATTTACAAAACATGTCTCTATAAACACACTGTAGGAGCCATCATACCCGAAAAGGAGCAGGTGACATAAATGACGTTTTTTACCAACCATTAAATACCTTGATGCAACATCATGCTTTCATTACATCTACCCATCGCCTTACCGGGGATTCTTTTCTAATTTGATAGTCTCTATACCTTGTTTGAATGTGTTTTTTTTTGTAAAGTACATCTTGTGATGGAAACTTCTAAAGCAATGGAGAAGAGACTCAAAGAGACACGGGGAGAGCAGGAACTTTGATGGCAAACACTGATGGTTTATTTGGATCCTCGGCCGGAGAATTCACAAGACATGTTCTGACAATCTCTACCCCAGACCCATGTATTCAGCTGGTTCTGAGAGAATAATCAACATTGTGAATAACAAGATAAAACTATAACACCTCTATCAGCTGACGCCAACAGGCAGGAACAGGGAGCACTGAGAGCAGAGCAGCCCAATGTCACAGGCCTGAGCTCAGTGAGCTCAGTACAAACTGATAAATTGGGTCAAAGTTATGGGCCTAGGAAAATATTTCCCCAACACATCTCTTGAGTGAAAAGTGCACTTGAAATAAAGCGTATTAGCCTACTATAAAATACTTTTTTAGTAAAAATGGAACTTACAAATTACTTAGAATTTATCATCAAAAGCAAATGACTAATTGTTTCAGCCATAAATGTATGAATATATATATTAAATGCAACAATTAGTAGTTCATTAGTCACCTAACGGTGCAGTTTCCTCACTTTTTACATCATGGCCTCATCCAGTGTGTGATATGTGTGAGTGTGTGTTGTGTGTTTATAAGTGGACACTCACTGAAGCTCCTGAAAAGCTGAAACACTTTTCTCCATCTTCATCGGCTCTCGGTCATCCTCCTCCTCCTCTTCTGTCTCTCCACCTCTGTCCTGCTCCTCACTGTCTGACTCCACTACAGTCTCCATCTTTTGTAGAAGCGTTAATGTCAAGTATACACAAACAGACGGAACAGCCAGTCAGAAACAAAGATATTATCATTAACCACAATAGCAGCTCATGATGATTTCTTTGTACTGTCCTCTCGCCTACAGAGAACTTGCATCCTGTGTTTGTCACCACAAAAAACGTTGTATTCTGTAACCTTTAAACTGCATTGAACAGGAATTCACAATGTATTTACAATGACATATGATATGCAAAATCATACAACATATAAAAATGTAAAATGCACTTCTGAATTACCATTCCAGTTAGTTGCAATATTTGCCGTAATAAAGGACATATGAGTAGAAGTTTTAGTAATAAAAGCAGAAGGAGCAGCAGCAACAGCAGAACTAGTATTAGTGATACCAGGTTTACTGGATTAGCATGTTACCTACAGAGGAGAAAGAAGTACTTAGATCTTGTACTGAAGTAAAAGTAGAAGTATCAGAGTGTAGGAATACTCTAAGTAAAAGTCCTGCAATAAAAACGTTACACCAAGTAAAAGTAGAAAAGTATTGGCATCAAAATAAACTGAAAGTACCAAAGGCTAAATTAGTCATTGTAAAGATTGGTCCATTTCAGAATAATATATATGATGTGTTTTATAATGATTGATCATTAAAGTGTCATCAAAGCTGGTAAAGGTGCAGCTAGTTTTAATGACTTTCAATCAATCAATCAGTATACTGCAGGGTAGCTTGTGAATTTACTCCAGGTGGAACTAAAGTCTGCTTTAACACTTGATTTTAATTATTAAACCAAATCTGCAAAGTAACTATAAGTAATAAATAAATGCAGTGTAGTAAAAGTACAAAGGAGCAAAACATTGAAATACTCAAGTAAAGTTCAAGTCCCTCAGAATTGTCCTAAGTAGGCTTACAGTATTTGACTACATGTACTAAATTACTTTACAACGAAATGTTTTTGCAACACTTTTTGCTGCATATTAGTGTATTATTTTCACAGATACTTCAAAATAACTTAATGTGCTTTGACACAATGAGGTCCATCTTAACTTACTAATTAATTCATGAAGACATAACACCACCGGGAACAATCAACGGTAACTTTCATACACCTTTGGAGTTTTGCAATTTGAATTAGGCAAACGTTAGCTTCAGTGGTGTAATGTTACTAAGTATATTGACTCAAGTACTGTCTCATTTTAAAGTAGTTTTATAGCAGCAGTATAGTATTTTTAAACTGTAAAAGTATTGCTGCTTTTACTAAAGTAAATTATTTGATTCTTCTTCCACCTCTAGCTAGTGTTACAATAACAATTAGCTTTACTGTTAAGGTAACATAAGGGATACATTTGTAACTTAAGAAAAACGATTCAAATATACAGCGTAATAGAATAAATAAAGTATTTTAAGTTATACTCATCCCGTCGTACAGAAATAAAAACGGCTTAGTTGGAGTCTCTCTTCTGTGTAGCTAACTAACGTCGGTTGTGACTGCTCTGTGTCCATGGTAACAGCCATGCGTGATGACGTAAAGACGTCTTACGTTACGTGATCTCTTTAAACATGAAACGGGACAGACGATACAATTTCAGGAGGAGGACATTTTAAATGTGAATTTAATACATTATATAATTTATGATCCATCAATATTTGTTCTTTAAATTAAATGTATTTCTTTATACAGTATGTTTGTTTTCACTTTTTTGTACTGTATTTGTACCTACAGTATGTACCCCTGATGTGATATCAAGGTGTTGTGTGTATATAATGTTTGATGTAAATATATATTTTCTTGAATAAAGGAGAACAAATAGTAGTAGGCCATAAATGGTCTAAAATCAGGGAAATTACCATTCTGGCCAATAACCGATACCAACCAATAATCCAACATGTGAGAAATAATTGAATAAATAATTCAAAGAAATAACATCTCTTTATTGGATATAGTTTATTCTTCATAGTGATTATTTTTTTAAAACAGTATATTAATTTCATGAAGATACATGACAAAAAACAACATCAAATCTTATAATAATAGTTAAGAAGCTGGAACCAGCGAATATTCAGCATTGTTGCCAGAAGGATGTTTGAGTAACGTAAAACGGTTATAGATAATTTAAGGAAATTTGCTTCAAGTTTATATTCTTAATAAGGATGAAAATAATACAATTAATTATTTTCTATTTAGATTATTTGAAGATATTCTCGCATTACATTACATTTTTTGTGGTTGCAATGCAACGAAAACTGATATTTAATTTGTATAAACGTTAAAGGTAATCATTTTTATTTAATATCTTAATTTATAATCTAATAATATCTAATCTATCAAATGTCACACAAAAGAGTAAAATGCCTGTTATATATCCCACAGCCAGAGGGAATTAAAACCTGAAGAGATTCAGTTTATGACCACATAGCACAAAGAAAAGCATTACATCTTCATATTCTGGAAGCTGATTCACCAATTTTAGGAACATTTCTTAAAGTTTGCATCCCTAAAGAAAAGGAGCAATAAACACAATGTTTAACTCATTTGAAGATATTAATAACAGTGAGTTAAAAAACACGTTTTTAGGATCAAATATAAGTTTCAAATGAAGAATTACATTTTGTTTAATGAAAATGACTTTAAAGATGCATTAGAGGTCATCATGTTAATTGGTAATAAGATTTCCTGGAATTGCCCTCTATTAAATCTTATATTATTTTAAAATGTCTTATTATATTTTATCTGAAAAAAACATATAAAATGTCACAAAATAGGAAAGAAAATCCTGTTTTTCGCAGGTCAAGCAGATACATGAACAGTTAAAACCCCAAACATATTAACTTCAAAACCATATATAATAAGAGAAAACATTACAGCTCTTATCTTATCTCACTACTGATAGATTATTCAGATCATTGTTGCAGCTGTATTCTGTAACACGAGGACTTTGAGGAAAGAAATACACTTTTCTCTGATAAAAGCCGACACAGCAATTCAGCTTTAGAGCTCATCCCTCTTCTTCTCCTCCTCCTTGTGGAAGACTTTTCCATCCGGCTGCTTCCTCCAGGCCAGTTGGACGTTGTCGTCCAATCCCTGGGCCCTTAGGTTCTTTTTCGCCTGAGACACAAAAACTCATTATCATTATCGTTCCAATGAAAACAGATGATTTATCTTTAGTTCACTCATCTGAAATGGTAGTTGTTCCCCTTATTTCTTCCAGTGTAAAGGCTTACCTCAGGTTATGGAATAGTATTTGTACATTTTCCTAATGCATTTGGTGGCATGTGGCTAAGTTTCTGCTATTTACTTCTGCACATATTCACACGTCTTCTTACTAAATGCTTGGGTCCTGTTATTTGTGGCCAAAGTATTGAATGTATAATGGATATAGAATTTCATTCATGTTCATCTTGGTCCATTTCATTCATATTGAAATTCATTTACTACATTTTCTTTCGTTGAATTCATTATTCTTTAATAGTTATTTATTTGTTTCCTACCTCGTTTGTCTCTTGTTCTCATGTCATGTGAATTTCCTTTCTGGAGATTGATGTTTTTGCATAAAAGTAGAAAACATGATTTACCTCCACCAACATCGCATCCAGAAAAGCAGGGTCGTTCAGATCCACACCGTTTGGTTTCTCCACCCTCACCTTTATCACTTTCATTGAAACAGGCACAGCTAAAAACACAAACAAACTTCATCAGTCACAACATTTATGGTGTCTTCTTTTTCAACAGACTCAATATCATCACTTGCTTTGACGCAGCTGTGAATTTTACTCACGTCCGTAGCAAATGAATGGTTTCTCCACTCCACAGTCCAAGTCCTCCCATTTTCCTGAGTTGTCGAAAGCTGCAGCCACACAAACCTTTAAAGCACTGAGTTTAGGTTCATTATCTGCCCAGTACTTGAAGGAGGAGTTACTTCCATCGGACCACTTCCAGGAGTCTCTGTAAAGGCCGATCCAGGTCCTATACCCTGTGACAATTGACAGGTCAACAATCTGCTGGTTCTCCGCCTGGTTTCTCAGACTGGCCAGGTCTGTGTGGTGTTCTCTGCAGTAGCTCTGGGCCTCAGTCCATGTCATTCTGCTGTTGATGAGGACAAATGTTGCATCCGGCCCTGAAAATGGACCCCAGAGAAGCTGAGTAGAGGCACCACGACATACAGCCTGACATCAATGCCACATCTTTGCTGGTATTGATGCCTTTATAATATAAAATATTACATTTAAATCCCACACATTTGTACTTTGTAATTTGTAGTGCTGGGGTTTTTCAACACATGAATGTTGGCAAGAAACTTTACTAGTATCAGTGGTGGAATATTCAGATCTTTTAGTAAAAGCAGGAGTACAACAATGTGAATATACTGTGTTACAGGTTAAAGCTTCATTCAAATTATATTGATTCTATATTGTTCTTATTCTGTTTAGTACAGATGTATAAGATGTAAAACGTACCTAAAACAAGTTTGCAAAAAAATGTATATACATCATTTCCTTTGATGTTATCATTTAAATGAAACCATGTGAGCATTTTACTGAAAAGGGAAATGTCTTTAGTGGAACTGCTAACACAGGAAAGAAAGTCACAAAGAAAAAAGGTTGGGAACCGCTAGTTAGATAAAGACCAATGCATTGTATTTCAGAAGCTTAAAATATGATTTTAAATGTGTAATATTAATTTAAAGTTTATATTCTTACCTGTGGCATCGAAGCAGATCGACCAGAGGGGGAAATTACAATCAAAATCACCCCATTTTCCACCAGAACCAAAATATGTGCATTGTTCATCGTGGCCGTTGCTTGGTTCTCCAGGCTCCCATGGTCTGAACTCCGTCTCCCCCGGTCCGTAGAAGCTGGGGTCTGACATCGACCACTTCCAGGTGTCCCGGTCATCGTGCAGTCCTATCCAGGCTGACTGAAAGCAAGAAATTGTTATAATTATTACATCCTGTTGAAGCTTTTAAAGCTGCTGCTTAAGAAAATGTGTATGTTTAATAAAGAGAAGGTTTGTTGTGCCTTTATGAGACCAGCCTTGGTACATGGTGATCTGATGGGAATCCCCTCAAGTCAACATTCATTTACAGCCTTGTTACTCTGAACCTCTTCAACTTTATTACAGGGTTTCATGCTATAGCTTTGGCTTAAAACATTTTCAACTCTGTTTTAATACTCAGGTTCCCATAGGACTTTAAAACAGGTTTAGCTTTCTGTAATAATCTCTCCTTTTTAAATTTGACTCTAAAAGAAATGTAATTCATTTGAATTGAAAGACAGAGAAAAGTGACCTCACTTGGTTGTATTGGCCTGCCATGTTGTTCAGGAGCTTCACAACCTCCATGCTGTCTACAGTGGCCAGGTCTGTGTGTTTCTCTCTGCAGTATCTCTGTGCTTCAGACATGGTCTTTGCTTCAGAAACAAAATGGTACTGACGTTCAGCATGTGAGGAGACAGTGCTCAGCCCTGTAGAGACACACACATTCATTTAGGCTATAACTTGACTTTTTGAATCACATTTTACTGTAATATGGCGCATCATTATACATTTTGACTTCTACTTCAAACAATTCACAGTGAAATATGTAGCTTTCAGCTGAACTTCATTTAGTTGTTTTTAAGCAAGTACCTTTCAAACAATATAAAAGGTGTTAAGAATGCAAAACAAGTAATTATCAAATAGAATCAGAAATGTCTTCTCTAGTTATTTATCTCCCCACCTCTCAGGTTTACATGAAATAAATAATAAAGACATAAAAAGATATCCAAATATATAAAACACTTGCCTGCAGCTGCCATGATCAGCAGCAGAACTACGTCCATCGTTGTTTGCTCTCTGACTGCAACTGTTGTTACAGCTCATAGTGTTTCTCATGAATGTCTTTGAGTAAGCTATTGTCATCTGACTTCATGCAAGGTCAGACGCAACAGATGTTTGCATAGGCAAATTGTTCGGGTTATGTTAAATACAGGACCCAGTCGCAGAAAAGGACTTGAGAATCAGAATCAGAATTCTGAAGTAGGTTTACACATATGAGGAATTTGCTTTTTTGTATTTTGACATGTATATTTTATATTTTATTTTATATTTTATTTTATTTTATTTCTATTCTTGTATATTTTGTTTTATTGTAAAATGCCTTTTATGCTGCTGTAACAAAAACAATTTCCCAATTTGGGATCAATAAAGTACGATCTATCTATCTATCTATCTATCTTTGGTTTATGTGATGCATACAAAGACGAAGAAAGAAGAATATGTACGTGAACAAAATAAAAATAAAAATAGAACTGTTATAACAGCTATTTAAAAAAACTTTTAAGAAAATATAATTCTCTAAGAAACTGGGTACAGTCAAATGTAATAAAACATGAAAAATACTATGTACTATATCCAAAGTGGAGAGCTGTGCTGATATAAAAGAGGTAGTGTGGAGAAGAAATGGGCACCACATTTGTAGGATTCGCACGATGTGACTTAATGTAATACATAATGTTTTTATGGGGTGGGTAGAAGTCAGTGTCCGTGGGGGTCACGGCCCTTGTTGATGAGACCGGTAGCAGAGGGGAGGAGACTGTTCAGGTGGCGAGAGGTTTTGGTCCTGATGGAGCGCAGCCTCCTCCAGAGGGGAGAGGGGTAAACAGTTTGTGTCTGCAGAGCGGATGATACGCTGAAACCTTCCGTTGTCCTTAGCTGTAGCTGCAGCGTACCAGATGGTGATGGAGGAGGTGAGGATGGACTCGATGATGGTGGTGTAGAAACCATCATCGACTTTGGCAGGTAGAATTTCTTCAGCTGCCGCAGGAAAAACATCCGGTGCAGCTGGGAGAGCTTGTCCCGCAGAGGGAATGAAGTTCATCAGATTTATTGTTGTATACTCAGGCAGATGATGAAGAAAGGGTAGCGGAAACTGGTGGCGGTTGGCGATGTGTCACGACCGATGGGAGCCTGGTGTGAAGACTTGCTGCAGGCGCAGACAGAGCACGAAAACTAGAGAGTCCGCCTCCATGGAAGTCCACTAGAAGTGACGTTTCAGGAGGGATAGGGTCCGATTGATACCCGGGTGGAAGGCAAAGCGGGAAGAGTGGGTGAATGGGAGAACTTGTGAGCGGTCAGGTACAACGGTTATCCGGACTGTTACCTGGATCTGGCTGGTCTTTCTGTGTGTTCCTCACTGAGCTCTCAATCTCCCACGTCACAGCGCCCACCACCCTGGTAGCGGGAATTATGGTGTCAGGAACTGTGGAGTCATGATCCCCTGCAAACTGCCGGGACAGAGCGTCAGGTTTGTAGGTTTCTAGAATCGGAACGATAGGTACAGGTAAAGTTGAATCTGCCAAAAATGAAAGCCCAGCAGGCTTGACAAGAGTTTAATCATTTGGCAGTTTCTATGTAGGCCAGAATCAAAATGTTACTCAAGTAAAAGTAGAAAAGTATTGGCATCAGAAGATACTTGGTAAAAGTACCAAAAGTAAAAATACTCATTTGCAGATTGGCCCATTTCAGAAAAATATATATTATTATTTATAAAACGGACAAGTCAAATCAAGCAATCTGATTGGTTCTTAGCCGTGATATATTGAGCGTATACCACGGGTAGAATTGTAAGTTACTTTTCACAACAAGTCAGTATCCCTCCGCGTCTGAGAAAAACAGTATACAGTTGGGCTGAAAAGCAAACTGCTTGCAGTTTGGTTGTCGACCCTCCGCTTCACGTCGGGCTGAACCACGCCCCTTAACTGTGATATAATGGCCATATACCACGGCCTGTCGTGAGCTATTGCTTAAATAATGTATGATGTCCTTTATTGTTTTATGTTTCATGAGGAACCTATATGCTGCAGGTCTCCCTTGAAAAAGAGATCTATGATCTCAATGGGACCAATCTGGTTAAATAAAGGTTTGAAATGAAATGAAATGATATGTTTTGATTATAATTATTGATGCATTAAAGTGTTATCAAAGTTATCAAAGGTATTATATCTTAAGTACAGTACTTGAGCAAACGTACTTAGTTACTTCCCACCTCTGTTTACATATTATAGTGTAAATATGGAAGTGACAGTGGTTAACAACTATCTTGTGTTGAAAAAAAACGAACAAATATAATTTATATTTGATCTCCAAATAGAGTTAAAAATTACAATAAATTGTAGTTAAGGTTCCTACTCTGCAAAAAGGGTTAAATGTACACTATGTGGTGTGGACCCATTGACACAAAGTGTTGAAATCAGATCTGAGAGTGTTCATTTGGGTATGCTGATTTTGCTTTGATATAACATTCAAATCACTCTGTTTGCATACAGTAAGAAAGGTCAAAGCAGCACAATAAAACTACCCAGAGGTTAAACCTGGAACAATACGTATGTTCTCTTTGGATGAGATCAACACTGTCAAAATACCACATTACAAGTAAAATACATGCATATTGTGATTATAATCAGGAACATGTACTCAAAGTATCAAAATGAAAGGTAATCAATACTTGCTCCCTAAGTCTATACGTTATGATATAATTTGTATCACCCTGTAATAATTCATTTTGTATTCACAATTAACTGTTAACAGTACTTTACTATAAATAAGTTTGACAGTAAAACAGCTTTACTTTTGGTTAGAGTTTAACACTGTAAGGATGGTATGAGCATGCAAAACTAATCTCAAACACAAGACACAGCAGGGCAGGGCAGGAAGAACACAAGGACACCAGAGCCGTTTCTCAGTTCTCCAAAACAGAAAAAAAAAGGGTTTTGTTTGAAGATCTGTTTAGCACGCTAACTTCAGGAGCGTTGTGACTACTCCGTGTCCACGGTAACAGACGCAATGACATCAAGACACGTTGCCTTTACTTGATCAGAAAAAATTAAACCTTATAAATACATTAATAATAATAGTTACTTTATTTGTATAGAACCTTTCATGCAAGGTGCATCCCAAAGTGCTTTTCATGAGGACATTTCTATTTTGAAAACAGCTAAATATTAATTAATTACATATATATTACCATATATGACAAAAAAAAGGATAATCAAATCATAATATTTAGAAAGATAGAAAAGCAATAATTAATATTTTCCCCTAGAAGTTGTTACAGTAATTAAAATAGTCATACATATCTTTAGGGAAATTGCTTCAAGTTTTCATCCCCATTTGAGTGACGGCATAATTGTGTTTTATGAAATCATTGGAAGACATTCTTACATATTACAGGAAGAAAACTTGGTCTGATCCCAAAACATATTACTTTTAGGACAATATATGAAGTAAAGCATCAAATCCTCATGTGTTGTAAGCCAATTCCCTAATTTAGCATCCCTAAAAATGTGAAAATGAATTATATGTACAATTATTTTGTTTCCTTTATTGCTTATTTGACGGAATTATGGAATTTAACAGTGAATCTTCGTGTTACTCACGTCCGTAGCAAATGAATGGTTTCTTCAACCCACAGTACAAGCCCTCCCATTTTCCAGAGTCATGGAAAGCTGCAGCCACACAAACCTTAAAAGCTCTGTGTTCAGGTTCATTTTCTGCCCAGTACCTGAAGGAGGAGAAACTTCCATCGGACCACTTCCAGGAGTCTCTGTAAAGGCCGATCCAATATCTCCCTCCAGGTAACAGCTCAACAATCTGCTGCTCCTCCGCCGGGTTTCTCACACTGCCCAGGTCTGTGTGGTGTTCTCTGCAGTAGCTCTGGGCCTCAGTCCATGTCATTACACCATCAGTGTAGAGAAATCTCACATTCGGTCCTGAAAATGGACGCCAGAGAAGTGCTGAGTAGAGGCACCACGACACACAGCCTGACATCAATCACACATCTGTGGTGGTATTGATGCCTTTGTAATATAAAATATAACATTGAAATCATCGAGACATAAGGATTACACCAATAAATGAACACATGCATTAAATGTAGGGTAGGTAAATTTGAGAAACCAGCTTGAGTGCGCTAGAATTTGAAAATACACAGCCGGAAAAAATCTGCCACTTCCTTACAGATCCCCTCCTCCAACACACACAAACGCGCACATGACCAATGAGGGCACGAGATAAGTTTGTGCACAGATGGAAGGCTGACAGGCAGGTAGGCCATCCAGTTATTTTAGCCGGGCCGGCTAAAATGATTGGTCGTACTTTTTACAGTACTACGGCTTCCACAAATGACATTTTTTAATGTATTTTTTGTCAAAGCACTTAAGATATTCATTGCTATCGGATGTTAAGAGCATTCCATGGAATATAACAAAAAGTGTATCTCGAGCCGGTTTCTCAAACTTACCTACCCTACCTTTAAATAAACATGTATGATATTATAATCTGAAAGTGTTTTTAAACGGTCTCTCCACATGAATTTAAATATAAGTAAGAGATCAGATATAAAAAACTTTGGGAACCATTTGTCAGATAAAGAATAATAATAATAATATACTTTCAGAAGCTTCAAAATAATCTGAAATTAATA